GAAATATTCACGGCGTCCTGGGAATATTGCACCGTTCCCAGGGTCCGTCCTGGGAAATAACCAATTGGCCTGGGAATCCCAGGGGCCAGATTTACCGTGTAGGCCGTTGCCGTCCTCTAAGGGAAGTGACGGACAACTCGTCCCCGCTAACTCGTCCCCGGCCTAAGTTGCCCCACGGACATCTCGACCCCGCCCATCTAGTTCCCGAGTTAACACGCCACCAACAGACCTTTCCAGGATAAGCTCTTAGGGCAATACCCCAATCTTTGCGCCGCCACACTTTAAGATCCAGCTTATTTGCGGTGAAACGGAGTTGAACTCAGTGTTAACTGGAGTACAATAACACTGACTTCAGTCCCACTTTGCTGCATTTGAGCCCCGCGACCTGAAATCACTCATTTTTGCATGATTTATTGCCACGGGGCTCAAGTGGGGCTCAAACGGGGCTCAGGTCGGGGCTCAATCTGGGCTCTGAAAATTGGGGCTTGGGTCGGGGCTCAAGTCGGGGCTTAACCCGGGCTCAGGTTGGGGCTCAGGTCGGGGCTCAGACCATCGGGGCTCAAACGGGACGGGGCTCATGTCCTATATGCCAAAATGTTCGTTACTGTAAAGTATGGCCCTTTCTGAGTTCAAAAACGTTGGTCCCATCACTCTAGGACAAAGACGGCGGAATGGGACTTACGTGCGAATTTTTCCGTTTTCGCCCCACTGTGCGGCCCTTCGGAACTATTCGGGACTGCCCGATCCGTCGCCCTGCCCGCGTGCCTGCCTGCGCCGACCTCACGTTATGACGGACTAGATCTCACGATCGAAGAAAAGGCCGTAAGCTCTGCACCATGAGAGAAGGGCGCCCTGGAGTCCCAGCTTCTAGCGCCCGGGACGCCGCCCGGTGGACTTTAACACCACCCTGAGGCCGCTGTATTGGTCGCACAGGGTTGCCGTAAAGATTTTTTGGCTCAGAAAGGTTCAACTTAGCGTCAGACAACCTTGGTTTTCGTTTTCCTTGAACGAGGGAGACTAAGGGTTACGTTAACAAGCGCGCGCAACCGCTGGGCAGTCCTCCGTCGCGGCTGGCTGGCTCGTGGCTGGCCGGCGGCACCCCCACTCCCGCCTGACGGCTGCCTGCCTGCCTGCGCGCCGCGCTACTTTTCCCGCATATTTTTCCCTTTTCCCTCCCGTCCCGTCTCGTTGTTCTCTCGACGGTCTCGTTACGCGCCAAAAGCGCGAACATTTATTGAGCACTGTTAAGAAATAAGAACATGTCTTGTAATTGACATGCCTCGAGTTCCTAGACGGAAACGTCTTTCCTTCCGGAAAGCTGAGAGGTACCGGGATGACCCAAATCCCCAACCATCTGAAAACCCGGAGGTGGGTTGTGCAGGTTATGTTCCCTTGTTGTGATTGGTTGTCATTGCATTTCCAATGTTAACTTTCGATTGTATTTTTGTCAGGTCCCATTGGACTTTAATTTTAATGATGAAAATCCCATTGAGAACGGAAATGAACAGGAGAATTCTCAAAACACTCGTGGTGTACCCACATCCAGTTCGTCTGTGCCCACTTCCAGTGAGGTAGAACATGTTTTCCTTTTCTTTGTTATGACTTGAAGCGTTCAAAGAAATATTTCTAACCATAGATCATGTGTGTGCTTTTGTGCAGGTTTTCATGGACCATGGCTATTGTCTTTCCAGTACGGACTGCTCTTCAAGTGAGACAGAAAATGTTCAACAAGTTGTTGATCGTACTTCTCAGGATTCTACTGGATTCAACAGGACCAGCACAGACTCATGTTCTAATAATCCAAATACCTCTTTTCCTTCAACTTCAAGTCAGGTAGTTTTTTTTTCTTAATCTGACTAATTGTCAGATTTTACGTTTCTTTTGAGTTGACCATTTTATGGGCTCGTTACAGGTTCCTTCAGACAACAAGTCTCATCCATCTCAAGACGGAACTCCTCCCAGCACTAGGAAACAGAAATTATTACGAGCTGAGACAGTGCCAGTAATGGGAAGTGAAGTGAACGTGACATCCAATTTTTCATTACTCTCACAAGTGAAGACCTTCCTAGAACTGTTCCTTAATCAACGTTGGCTTGTTGTTGTAGGTGATCAGAATTTACATTTGTTGTATTATTCAATCCAGGATTCTTTAGTTGTCCAGAGGAGCTTGGTTGTTTCTCTTTCAGGAGATGTCAAAGCATTTGTCCATAATGAACCTGTTTCCATTAATCTCATAGTTAAGAAGCAACCTCCACCTGTACCATTAGAAGCGGATTCTATAAATAATTTTGTGGATAGGATTGTGTCCATTGTAAGTGAGTTTAGGAAATTGCAAGTATGTAGTGGGTATGATGAAGAGAAATTTCAGCCTGCCTGGTCTTCATGTCCCCTGGGTTATGTTGATAGAAATTCTTTCAAGGAATGCAGATTTGTGGAGACATTCAGGTCACATCTGTGTCTCAGATTGGTTGATCAACGAACTTGGAGATGTTCAGAATGCAAGAAAATGTATGGTCCTCTGAAGAGACGAGCTGCTGCAATAGGTGAAGAAGTGCGCCATCCTCACACATCCAATAAATATCTGAGTGAAAAACAAATGCTGGACAAAATGGAAAAACAACATGAAGATTTGAGAAAAGCCAATAAAACAATTTATTCACTGCAAAGAAGAATGCAAGAATTAATTGAAAAAGAAGCTGTTCCTGTGGACAAGACATTGGCAAATGATCTGTGTGAAATAATAGATAATAGCAACCTGACACCTGCTCAATCAATTTTTATGCAGCAACAGGTTAAAGCGTCTTAGCAGATGAAGGCTTGTGCGATGAGGTGGCATCCCACCATGATCAGATTTGCACTTTCAGTTTACTTAACTTCTCCTGCTGCTTATGAACAGATGCGACAAACTGGCATGATCAAGTTGCCATCTAGTTCTACATTGTTTGATTACTCTCATGTTGAGAAAGTAGGTGAAGGTATTGATGAGACTGTTTTGAAATCAGTGTCAGATCGAGTCAACAAGTTCAAAGAGAAACACAAGAAATACCATGTTTTGATGGCAGATGAGATACATATATCTCAGAATCTTGTCTTCCAAAAATCAACTGGAAAGATAATTGGGTACACATCTTTGGATACCATTGATTCAGAAGTAGAAAACCTTGAGAAATGTCTTGATAATCCGGATCATGAGAAAGAAGAAACATCTGCACACAAAATTCTTGTGTTCATGATCAAAGGTGTCTCCAATGGAGTAAAGGAGGTCATTGCTTCATTCGCAGTAGGCAAACGCCTTTCTGCTAACCAGCTTTATGTGTGGTTCTGGCAAGTTGTTGGTGCACTGGAAAGAAGCGGTCTAGCTGTTGTTGCTTATGTGAGTGATGGTGCTTCTGTTAACCGTGCATTCATCAAAAAACACAAGCCAGCTACCAAACATCCTAGTGGAATTATCTTCGATACGGTGAACAAAGCTGCCAGAGACCGTATTCTCTACTTCATTGCCGATGTACCCCACCTTCTCAAGACTATCAGAAACTGTCTCCTAAATTCACGGTGGGATGGAAAGAAGAGTCGAAGAAAAATGATGAAGAACGGCAAAAGGATTACCTGGGACTTCATTATTAAATTATACGAGGAGAAGAAAAAAAAGAGTCTGAGAAAATCTTACAAGCTAAATCCCATGAATGTCTATCCAGATAGTTATGCTCGTATGAAGGTGAAACTGGCTGGACAGCCCTTGAGCAATACCGTATTCAAAGATATGAAGAGTCAGAACTGGCCTGATGCAAGTGAGACAGAAATTTTCATTGACAAAGTAAATGTATGGTTTGACTGCCTGAACGGAGCACATTCATCTCAAGGAAAGAAAACGAAGAATCCAAATCTCAACTCATACACTTCAGAGCATGATCCTCGCTTTGAAACATTGTCAGATTTTCTTAGCTATTTGGATGAATGGGAGGAAGATGTGAAAAATCTCAATCATTCTTTGAACTCAACAGTTGCTGGTAACAACACTGCTGCAATGCCTGACTGTGATGAAAGTGAAATTGAGGATGGTGGATTCGACGCAGAGGAAGATACTCCAGGAAGCAGGCGGCAACTTAGTAGGCAGACTTTGGAAGGCATCAAAATGACTTCTTTGGCTTTCAAACCATTGGTTGTGTTTCTGTTGAAAGAAGGAGTGACATTTATAAATGCCAGGATTTTCTGCCAGGACCCATTAGAGCAGCATTTTAGTAAAATCAGGGCTGGTCAAGGGGGTAACAACAACCCAAATGTTGCTGCCTTTCTCAACAGGAACCGTGCATTGCACACTATTGGACAGATGGGGATGAGGAAGCGGAAAGGAAACTCCGGAGAAGCAGGGAGCCATGTTGAAGTGACTACTGAACCCTTGCCAAAGAGAAAGTACAATCGTGTTCCCAAGTTGCTGAAAGATGTTAATTAAGTAGAGCTGTCCTTTGTAAATGTCTGTCATCAAGCTGTCTGTCAACATTGCTGTAAAGTAGCTTTCATTATTACAAGTTTAATCTTTGTTGTACAGTATGTATTTATTTGTTTATAATTGTACATTGTATATTGCTCTATTTATTTATTTTTTTTTAATTGTACATACTTTTCCCTCTTGGTCAGTGGAGTGTGCAGTAGTGAATGTTATTCTCTTACAAGTGATGGTAGTTTTCCAAGAAGTAAAATAAAAATCTATTTGTGATAAACTTTCATTTTATTTGAAATAACATTTTGAACTAAATGTGTGTCACATGGTGAAACAAATCAAATAAATGTATTTGAGAAATAAAATGCTTTTCTATTTTGTCTTGGTCCTTAACATTAACAGTCATATTGAAAGTACTAAGTGAAAGTGTTCACTTCTTGTTACAGAATAATCACAGTTAAGAACTTAAAATAAAAATTAGCCAAATTCAGTCTTTAAAATTAAAAGTAACCTCATCTTTTTGGTCTGATTAATAGTGATAAAATAAAAGAAGAGTTAAAACTTAACGATTCTTTCGACTGGCAACCAAATGTCTTGTTGGCATCGACACCATGGGCCTGTTTCTCAGAGCATTTAGCCTCCTCTTTGCAAAGCCTCTGCCACATGTTCTACACAAACCCAGAACCACATCATTCATGAGATTTACTGAAACTGTCTCCGGCAATGAATCACCTATCATGGTTCCCCATTCCACACTGAGTTCTGAATTAGTCACACATGTTATGACCTTGTCATAATCTATTGAGCCATCACATTGTTCATTAGCATACACAACTTTAGTCAACTTAACAAAAAATCTTTGGCATTCGGCATTAATGTAAAGCAAACTTCCCCTGTCTACACTAATTGTCCATTCTGAGTCAGGATCAATATCAGCAACAGGTTTGTCCATTAAAATATTGGTCTTGATTACTGAAGCCACACTTTGCCAGGTTTTACTTTTTTCGGATCTTCTTGCAATCTTCAAGTACCCTCGCATAATTGAACCACCTATATAATAAATAACTTGTCTGTCTTCTTTGTCAAGTTCTGTAACAACTTGCAACTTCTGAGGTAGAGTGCTGCGGAATGTCTTGGAAATAAACTTGACAATCTCCAACAAAAATATAAGACTTAATTCTAAAAGGAACTGGTACAATACATTTCTCTCAAACTCATCAGGTAAGTTCAGCAATTTAAGAAGAGCATCACATGTTTCAGAACTAGAAGTAATTTTTTCATGTTTATCTATCAAGTAAGTGACTAGAGTGGATGGAAGGATACACATTTTGTCCTTAATGCTATCAACTAGCTCCCCACACAATCCATGACAAAAAAGCTTCCATTCTTGATTGCCTGCGACACCAGCAATGTGGCCCACTAAGTGTTTGAACCTCTGCCCACTTTCCCCGACACTTATGCACTTTGAAACTTCAAGCAAGGCTTTGTCGGCTATCTCCTCACAGTTCTCCAGAATTTTCTTACCATCTGGAAAGCGTTTAGCAGCACCTGAAAAAAGACAAAATAAATTCAATATTAATAATAAAATCTTGCTTAAAAACAACTTTAAAAAACCTTTGCAAGGTAAACATACTTTGAATGATATGAGTCCTCAAATGTGTCTTGAAGGAACGCTTGCATATGTATGCTTTCAAACAATAAGTGCAGATTAGTTTGGCTGCTGTCTTGTTAACTTTGGACGTGACTACTTTCTTCTTTTTTTGAGGTGCATTAGGTATTTTAAACGATGCATTGTCAGGTTGCAATTGACTGAACGATAAATTACTTGTGTCAATATGCACAGCATTGCTGACATTTAAGTCAGCAGTGTTTGCTGAAAAAAGAAACAAACAACATTTATTTAATTTGTTGGTGCCAAACAAACATCCAGTTCCTTCTTTTCATTTTGAATATGAAAACCACACTGTCAGTACTTCATAACCTAGATTTGCATGACAATAATGTACTAACCTTGACTTCCGTGGGCTGTGAAATCACTTGAGTGGGTGGCGACATGTTTTTCGAAATAAAACTGGAGCTGATATGTTTTGCCACAGTGCTGACAAACCAATTTCGAAACGTTCTTGGTCTTTCGGGGAGTAGAGGTTGCATTTGGTACCTTGAATGGAGTCCGATTACCATTTTCATCCAAGGAAAATGATTGATCCATTCTAAAATTAAACATGTTTCATTCCGTTAAATTATTTTCATTGTTTCAATTAAATTTATTACCCGCAATGACACATCGTACTTACTTAAAGGTACCAATAATAATCTACGATAATTTGCCCAGCCCACGGCGTCGGCTGTGTTGTGAGAGAGGGACGGGAGGGAAAAGGGAAAAATATGCGGGAAAAGTAGCGCGCCGCGCAGGCAGGCAGGCAGCCGTCAGGCGGGAGTGGGGGTGCCGCCGGCCAGCCACGAGCCAGCCAGCCGCGACGGAGGACTGCCCAGCGGTTGCGCGCGCTTGTTAACGTAACCCTTACTCTCCCTCGTTCAAGAAAAACGAAAACCAAGGTTGTCTGACGCTAAGTTGAACCTTTCTGAGCCAAAAAATCTTTACGGCAACCCTGTGCGACCAATACAGCGGCCGCAGGGTGGTGTTAAAGTCCACCGGGCGGCGTCCCGGGCGCTAGAAGCTGGGACTCCAGGGCGCCCTTCTCTCATGTCTGCACTGATGGCGCGAGCACGGCTTCACGCTGTCCCTAGGCCGTTGCCACCCCCTGCATGCAGAAATCCTGTACGGAGTGACCTGACACTTTCGACGTTTACCTTAAAATTCAACCTGTGCTTCTTCTTGGACTTATTATCTATAAAATACATTTGTTTAGTTTTAGTTTTCACTGCTAGCAGTTTGTTGTTTCTCTTCAGACAGGGCTGGAGTGGAGTTATCATCTTCCTTCCTGGATGAACTATGACTGTTAAATGGGGCCCTACTGATTCCGGATTTTTTTTTTAACTTTTGTTTTTTACTGGGCTATGACTGACAGGGTCCACGTTTGCAGTGGAATTCTCCCTGATTTATGCTCGGCGTACTTCTTCAGCCTGACCTTTCACCAATTGGGAAAAGGCTTGCAATACAGGTGCGGTGCACGAGAAAATGAATTTTGACTCAAAACTATACTCTTACCTCAGAGGTCACTCTATGGGCTGTGCGTAATGACCACACGACACAAAACATGTAGATCAGAATTTGTGCTGTCGAGAACACAAAATGAGCCAGAACAATATGCGCATTTCTTTTGTAATAGTCAGCTATGAACACTTGAGCATTGATCGCTATTACAAGCAACCCAACGACCAACAAGCACATGTTTAACAAAACGAATGCTACTTGTGGGCCGAAGCACTCGCAAACATCGTCCAGGCATTCTGTCGTTTTGAGGTGGTCCTTGTGAATCTGGAACAAAACGATAACTATCCAAGAAGCAAATCCATCCTCATTGTTTGCCCTGCCCATGGATACGCCGCAAAAATACGTATGTCCTAGAAATATTTGTCACAAGAAGTTCACAAAGTTCAACCTTTATTTGATGAATATATTCCCAAATTTTGGGGCCCTAACTCCGATTAGTTTCTGAGTTATGGAATGGGGGGCAATGTAAACTTTAAGCCGTTTCTCCCAAATTCTCCTTACGACAAAGGAATAAGTTCCCAAACGTCAGATTCTGGCAAATGAACTTTCAAAGACGTAAGAAACAGATAGCGTTGGCAAACTTGAAAATATCTGACCACAGACCCAGCTCGAGCCTTGTTTAATCTAGTGAGCTGGGCCCAAAGATGTCTCGAAACTTGGCGCCTAGGGCGCCTCGAAATAGCCTAAGGCACACTTAGGCGCAACCACCAACTTTCAGAGCACCCCTGAATAACAAGTGTAACCCTTTGTCGTGTAGAGAATTTGAGAGGGAAGACTTTGAGTTAACGTAAACGGCCATAATTCAGAAACTACACTGAGGTGGGGCCCTCCTCGTAAAGTTCGAGTTAAAAAGTCACTAACCTTCCCTTAAACTTACAGTTTCTTGAATACTAAAGACATCTCTTCTAATATTTAAATACTACAACGAACCTGCACAATATAGTCGGTTATGTCCTCTCGCTTTCCTTTGACTTCTTTTAATAATGTGAGTTCCTCATTGAGACGTTTGTAACTATTTCTCAATGTATCTAGAATGAACATGAAAAACGACAGCTCCGCAGTTTCCTGTAGCTTCTGCAGAGGATAAAAATGGAAATGTGCTGTTAACGAGGGGCAAATAACTTCGACAAAATTTGTACACCGTTATTTTAAATTCACGTTATTTCATGTTATTTTATTATTAATTCAATGTTATTTTCAGCGAGGGGTCGGCAACTTATACATTACTTCGTACGCGGTGGCTATATTACCCGTATATTACCTGTATATTACCATAAATTACTTGCATATTACCACAATTTCGCCTCTATAATACCCCTATATTACTATGTATTACTTCGTATTACTTTATATTACATATATATCACCTACATTACTGGTACTCGATTTTAAGGGTATTTCAACGTTATTTCGCGCTATTTCACGTTATTTCACGGTATTTCTCATCATTTCACGTTATTTCACGTTTTTTCAAGGGAAATGTACACCAAAATTCAAGTTGTTTGCCCGCTGTTAAGAATAAGCATTATCAGAAGCTAGAATCAGGCGTGCAGGGATACATTTTCGCCGATTTCCCCGCACCTGTCACCCGTCCCTCTTGAGCCGATCTAGACTCTCAAATCGGCACCCAAAACGATAAAACATGCAACGCTTCTATGCAGGCGTTTTTCATGTATTAGCACACTAAGTATTTTGGTCAATTTTTTGTACGAGAAATCACAGTTTTTTAGTGCATTTTCGTACAAATTTGTACGCGATTTTGCACCAAATTACACTGCAAAGCCAGTGGTAAGTCTGCTTGCAACAAATTTGGCGAAGCGTTGTGAATGCCAAAAATTGGCAAGCTTGTCCGGAAATACCACCTAGCTAGCCAAAATTTGGCAAAGCTTATAAAGATTTCCGACCGAAGCTTGCCAAATTTTGGCATTCAAAACAGCTTGCCCAAATTTGTGGTAAGCAAACTTACCCGTGGCTTTGCAGTGCATGGGAAATATGTGCCGTTTTTTGTACACTACGAAAAGTTCGTTTCCACTTCAAACTGTATTGTCTCGTACAAAATTATACATAGCATCTGTGTGAGCATTAACAAATGACTCACGAGATCCCACAAGAGGAATGTACGCCCTACACAGCAAATTTTTGAACACACAGTTGTGAAGGGGTTCCATTTCGCCCGCGCATTTCTGACCGAAACTGACCGTGTGGTGTGCTCAATTGTCTAAATCTGCAGCCCCTCAAATAGTCGGGCTTCTGGACTCCTCCCTTTCTGAACCCTCTATCGAAAATGATGATACAAATTTTGAGTCGGTCAACCCGTGTTTCCCAAGACACTGCTCTGACCAATGCACGAAGTCGGCCTCCTAGACCCCCCTCGACCCCTCGTCAAGAAGGTCGTGGCGAAACCTATGGAAAACCGCATTGAACTTTTCAACTGCCGACACTCCCATTCCAGGGACGTGACACCACATTGAAACGAACGTAACAAAGTGTCACGTGCGTTTGAGCATTGTGCCACATTCGTTTGGATGTGAATCGGCCAAAAATTAGCTTGTTTACATTCAAACGAATGTGACACAATGCTCAAACGAACGTGACGTTCTGTCACGTTCGTTTCAACGTGATGGCACGAACTTGGAATGAGAGTGGAAGCCGAGCTCCTGGCCCCTCCTACCGACCCCTCGCTGGAAAGGTCGTGGCGAGACTTACCGTAAACCGCAATAAAATCAGACAGAGCGGTGGTCACCACTCTGCGAAAAAACCACAGTAAATCCCGTTAATTTTTTTGCCGGGATTTACTGTAGTTCAGGACACAGTATTTACTGTGCCTGGTTACAGCATTACTGTACCTGGTACAGGATATTCCGTACTCCACTCCTGTGGTAACAGTAAATCCCGTGCAAAGTACAGTAGATTCTGTAAAAAAAGTACAGTAAATCCTGTACTCTGAACTACAGTGACAGCTGTACTAATCACTACAGGATTTACTGTGATTTTTCCCCACAGTGACTAATGTTCGTGATGCGATGCACAATGTACTCACCTCCAAAACCATTGATATGGATACCACGGCTGTCGTCAGAGTCATTTGCCCTGTGTAAAACGCACACAGCGTCAAAATGATAATTGCAACAGTTCTTGCCAAGTCCGGATAGAATATGACGAGGGCTCTGGAAGACGTGGTGGGCATCTCGTTGAGGATGACGGGGTCCATGAGGATGCGCTGCAGGTTTGGGTATTGGCGCCGAAAGAGGTGCAGTCGAATCAAGGCCACCCCAAAGACCGCGGCGATGATCATGGACACTATCAACACTTCATACAGCGTCATGTGCGCCTTCACGGGATGGAGAATCGCTTCTGACGCATAATGCAACAATAAGCATATGCAGCCGGTGCTTGAGGTGATCGTCGAACAAATGCTGTACCTGAAAAAAAAAAAGAAGTAAAAAAGTAAGTTTTTTTTTTTTGAAAGCCAAATTAAAGCCAACCTTCAGCACTCGGACACACTCATTCGAGGAACGTGACATCACGTTGAAACGAACGTGACAAAATGTAACGTTCGTTTGAGCGTTGTGTCACGTTCGTTTGATGTGAAAAAGCTGATTTCTTGCCAATTCACACCCAAACGAATGTGACACAATGCTCAAATGAACGTAAAATTTTGACACGTTCGTTTCAACGTGATGTCACGTTCCTCGAATAGAAGTGTCTGAGTGCTGAAACATCACACACCACGAACACACAACTTCTGGAAGCAAAAGTGTTGATTTTACTCAAAACACGGAATTTCGGCCGTACTTCCGGTCCCTGGGTATTGTAGTAGGGCCAAATATGAAGCTCGATATGCTGTTTAAAGTACATAAGGTGTCTTTTTCTTCCCGAGTGATCATCTGGACGCATCAGCAGCGCATCCGAGTCCGTTTTGCAAATTGACTAATTTTACTTATAAATCCGAAACTTCCCCCTCAAAGTGGGAACCAAAGATATTGTCCGATCGGAAAAAAAAATTTGCACGTGTGTTTCTGATGTCAAGTGGCCACTTTTGCCAGGTACCCGTTTCCGATCAGAGAAAAAAGTGTTTTTTTGGACCATCCTACCAATCAATGCATGGTCGAACGTCGTGCTGGTCCGCTGCACGCA